AGTAGTAGCTGTATAGCTAAATAATTTTTTTTTTTAATCACTGTCTCTATTTGGTGGTGGCTGAAGATATATATAAAGACAAAGTTTAGGTCAGCAAAACTGAGAAATAATATAACTTTCAGAGCTCAAGTAATGAGTTAACAACTTCACGTTTTTCTGCAGCAATGGAAGTAAATAAAGCCTTAAAAGTTGATGCAAAAACAAATTTCTACAGGTGTCCCAATTTGTAAATAAGTTGAAACAGCCTGTGTTAATACACCGTACAAGCTTTATTTGTACTATATTATATATATTTTATACACAATATTAATTTAGGAAGACAGACCAGTTGGTCAGCAGTTGGTTTGACTGGACTTGAACTACTTAATAAACTACTACTAGAAAAACTAGAAAAATGGGGGTGTAAACTTTTGATTGGTAGAGTATATCGGTAGTGTGTATATATATATATTTATATATAGGCAACTCAAAGTTAACTATATCTTGCCAATGGTAAATTAATAATATGTCTTTTTTTACAACAACTTTACCGTATGTCTGATTTAGGCTTAAAATTAATTAAACAACTAATCACAACAAATGTGAATGTTTGTATTTCATACCAGGCCCATCATCATACCATGCTCAAGTTGACACACCTTTGTGCCCTATGACTGGTAATACAGTGGGTGAATTTCCTTTTTGTTTCCTGTTTTTTGACAATGAAATTGTGTGTACAAAAGTTGCTAAACATTTTCCAATTAATTTTACCCCACAGCTCCACTGATGAATGCAAACCGACGTCTTCTGTTTCTGGGAACTCCACCTCCACCGCTTAACCCTGCTCAGGGGCCATCAAAACTGTCTGACCAAGTTAGGACTGACTTGGTTTGCAGGGGTCAGTGATTTTTAATGTATTGCTGGTTGAATCTTTTGACTCTTGTTTTTGCACTCAGTGTTCTCTTCATGGCCACTGGCTAATTACATTTATTGTGTACAGTAGGGATTTGTGTTTTATTAAAGTTCTTTTGCACTTTACATAGGTAGTTTTTCATACCAAATTATTATCTTGATATGCTTGTCTAGATAATGCTGTAAATAATGTAATATAAAATAAATATAAAATCAAACTAGAATGTTTGTAGAATATTTCATCTTTTTGGGACAAACACAGGTAACACTATTTTAAAATTTCCATGGCTAAGCATTCAGACAAAAAAAAGTCAGTTTTACTTTGAGTGTTTCAGTGAGTGTATTTAATTAGCAATCAATGAACTGCAACCCATCATGTTGCTAAAGGTACAAATAAAATTGATAAAGGTTATGATTGTATACGGTAACTCCATGAATACTTCATTGTCTATATACTGTGAAGCAGGGCCCCCAGAATGATCTAGGGCCCCCAGATATACAGGGCTGGTCCTGGTCTTGGCCCTTGTCTGTTTTACTCTTGCAGAAAATCCCCTCTAAAAGGCTTGGTTGGATTTGTGTTGGATTTGTGTGGTTCGAGGTTAACGTAGATGCAGTAGAGATAAGCGTGTGCAAGGCTTTAGTTCAATGCATCACGGCCCGCTCGGGTCAGTGTTGTGTTTCATGCCATTGTAGACACCTGTGTGACAGTCTGCTGTTTCCTAGTCATGTTGGTCTATCTGAAGGAGAGTTTGCATGCATACATTTTATTTCTTACTATTTTTTTTTACAGCATAGACAGATGGTGTAGTGTAAGTGAATAAGCAGAATTAGTCCTTAAAAGCCACTGGGTCATGTGATGTTTGAACACAATGCCAGTGGCGATGGCATACATACAGATTTATAAATACTACACAATGCATTGACCATATTTATGGATTCACCTAAAGTGTCACCATACCTACTGTAGTTTAGGAATCATCAAATATTATGTGTGATATCTATTCAACAGATTTGTGTGTTCTAATTTAATGGGCCCTTTTTAACATTAGCTGAATTCAGTTCTAATATTCCATATAATACTGTAAATATTTCCATGTAGCATCCTATGATTGCATTTACTCATCACACATTGCACCCAACTGCAACTACACCCATTTCTCTTTTCCCCTCTACCCTCTCTCGCTCTCATTTCTGACCACAGATAAATTGTTGCTAGGTCGTGGTGTTTAATTCAAAAACCCCAAGGAAATTTCTCTTGAGGTGCATTTCTCTTTAAGCATTCATGAAGACTTTTCTGCTTGCTGTCTTTTTCTTTTCAACAAGACATTTTCCTCAAGTCAACAGGCCTCCACACTCTGACATCATCATAGCTCAGGCCTGCTACTTAAGACTGCTACGTCTTATAATACAACTGGTCCTTTCAAAGGGTAAGATGTGCAATCAGTGCAAGTGTGAGCAGTTTCACGGCCGCTTTGATGAAAAGATCCATGACACTAAATATAAAGCTAGCCAGCAGCTGGTTAGCTTTGCTTAGCAGAAAGGCTGGAAACAGCAAGCCTGGCTCTGTCCAAAGGTAAGAAAATGTGCGTACCAGCACGTTAATGCCCAAGAAATAGTCTCACACATAACCCACCATTTAGCTTTCCCTCTTTTCAGAAAAGTTTCATAACTTTATCTTAACAGTATCTTACCTTCTTCTATTGCTCCTAAACAGTACACGTGTATATTATACCATCTTAATTAAGTACAAATAAACAACAATTTGAGTATTTCTGTGTCTTAATTAATTAGCTATGAGTAAACGGACAATACAACAAATGTAGATAAGATCACATGCATCATATCAAAATGAAGTAGTTTGTGGAGTTGTTAATATCTGAGTTTATGCTGACACATCCTTTAAACACCCATAATATCTCAATATGTTATTCTGGGAGACAGCCAACAAGTGAGACAGCTCAGCTGTGGCTTTGTTCCCCGGCCAAATGAAAATAAGGGAGTCTCCACTGATAGATAGATTTCTGTGCTAATGATGCTAACACTGGTCTGGATTTGTGGTATCCTGTCATAAACTCTTCTTTTCACTCATCTTTTGGTTGTGTGTTTTATTTCTCTCTCTCTCTCTCTCTCTCTCTCTCTCTCTCTCTCTCCCTCATTCGCCAAATGTATTTTTAGCTCTCCTCCTCTCATCCCCTCTATTGTAAGGAAAGCCCCACATTTTATTTTCCCCTTTTATTCCTACAAACACACACACACACACACACACACACACACACACACACACACACACACACACACACATACACAGACACACACAAACACTGACAAGGGGACCAGCTACAGTCACATTGCACACTTGCTTCAAACCACTCTGCTCTCCACTCCACTTTGCTTCACTTCATTTCACTCCAAAAGCCTGCATGTCAACAAAGGATGGGGGGGGGGGACTGCACCAAAATAATAATGCACAGTGGAACCCAAGGCCCCCGGCGGGAGATTTTATTTTTTACATGAGCACTTAGCATTCATTATTTAATCGGATACAAGACTTCTGATTACATCAAGAGTTAAAATCATACCCCTGCTTGTCTCAGTTGCTATTCACAGTCTTTAAAGGCCAATTCTCATACATCCAAGTGGGAGATGTTTTGGGGGAGATGTATTTTGGATTGGGGAGGGGAGGCACTTTAGGAGGATGCAGCAGACAGTTTACATGCAACCACTGTGGCTGCTCTTTTGGCAGTCAGTCAGATGCTTATCAAGCCATAATGGAGAGAGAGAGAGAGAGAGAGAGAGAGAGAGAGAGAGAGAGAGAGAGAGAGAGAGAGAGAGAGAGAGAGAGAGAGCAGTTCTGGAAATGGAAAGGACTCCAGTCCCCTGATTCAGCCTTTAAGCTGCTTTAGAGGATTGCTGGGTATTTTTTCTCTCCCTTGCTCTAAAACAGACAGCTGATATCGGCTCTGAACCAGAACAGGAGAGGGCAGAAGCCCTGAGCTTTCACTACGCAGCTGCAGACACAGGGCACGGAAGGGCCAGGCTGCTTTGTCTTGGCTTTATAATCTACTCTTGGGAGACACGTGATAGCAGAGGTTGCTACCAGGAAGGTCTTACTGCTCTCTTCTGGGGACATGCTGCTACAAGTGGGCGTCTGTCCCCAGCTGACCACAAGAAACCTCAAGTTAAGCTAAATATTACAGACCATTTTACCTGTTATGACATCACTGATTGGACCAGAAGAGTAACATGCATGAACGTTTCAGCCTCATAGAGAGGAGGACTGCGTCTGTTGTTCTCCTTTGCTAAAGTGACCATAACCTTGAACCAAAATCCATGCATGACTAATAGCAAAGAAGATTCAGTGAGTTAGGGCTTTTGGGAGAGACTGGGATCAGATCAGGCTAGCCAGAGCACTGTAAATATTCATCCATTTTCTATAAGTAATTACCTTTTTATACCTCCTGACAAAGCTGGCTCACCGGAGCAGTTCAAGTGCAGGTTGTTTTGTAAAGTATTCATGCAACCTTAGCAGTGATAGAAAGTAATGCAGATGTTCAATGGGTTTACGCAATTCAAGTTTTGGGAGTTTGATCATTGTTGTTTACCATATGAGTGACAGTCAAAGCTAACTGGAATGGTGAGAGAAATTACATCCAGAAACCTTTCATGCAAAACTGTTTGCAGAAATGTAAAATGCATTTTAAAAGAAAACACTGGTGTGGTCCCTCAATGCAATACGTTGAGATTTATAATTCAACTATTAAGTAATTTGAGGAAATAAGTTATCAATATATCATTTAAAAACTGTAGACCTGTTCTTATTAGACTACATAACATAACATACATCCATGCATACATTAGACACGGATAGGCCTACATATAGGCCTGTAGACCAACCTTACTTTTCAATCTAAATGCAGCGCAGTTTCTCAAAGTTCACTTGGGGACTGTCATACATTGTATTTAGCCAATAGCACTCGCGAGTGGAGAAATAAGATTATCGCAGTTTAGTAGTTGCAATTCTGGCTACATCCACGAGATGACGCTATTTGAGTAAATATTCTTCCCCGGAAATTCGCGAACGGTAACGGACAAACCCGAGGCGAACCCCGGAAGCTCAGTCGTTAGTGGGTACTGTCAGCCCGTTGTTAGAGCGATGTGTTGCTACCTCTGCGGGCACGGCCGCCTTGGAGCTGGAGTTTAGCTCAAACGGGACATCAAAATGTATTAAGAAGGCGTTCACAGCAAAGGAAATTAGGAATATTAAGGTATGTAATTTAGCTGTCACCCGGGAGGCTCTGTTTTTTGCGCTCGTGGCTCGCATACGGTGTTAGCATGCTAGCTGTGTTAGCTTCTCTAAATGGCTAGTGGTTAGCAAGCGTGATTTACCATCCAATCCGGGTCCATGTGAAGTGTCAGGATAGCAGGCTGCTATGTCCTGTGCTTGTGTGTGTGTGTGTGTGTGTGTGTGTGTGTGTGTGTGTGTGTGTGTGTGTGTGTGTGTGTGTGTGTGTGTGTGTGTGTGTGTGTGTGTGTGTGTGTGTGTGTGTGTGTGTGTGTGTGTGTGTGTGTGTGTGTGTGTGTGTGTGTGTGCGCGCGTGCGTGCGGGTGTGTGTGTGGGGGGGGGGGTCAGTCACGACCTTAACAGTTATCATTGCAGGAGGGATTTGAAGAAGGACTCTAATCCCAGTTACACACCTCTCAGACAAAGACAATGGCAATAGTATTTAAGAAAAACCTGTAGGAGGTCGATAGTGTTTGTCATGTCAGTATTACCGCTGTAATTTGGTGGTTTGCACAGAGACCACGGCTACGTTGAGGTGCCCAAATCACTCTGGACAGGATTGGTTTACAACCCAGAGTCAAGGCAACAGAGAACAATCAGTGATTACTCATGAGACTATCAGCTGAGATGATGCAGTGTCACCACATTGCAACGAATAGCCATCATGATGGGTGTGTTTTCCTGGAAGTAAAAAAGAGAACATTTGCAAACTCCTGGACACCACACAGACTCTGGGGATGAAGCAAACATCGTAGAAACTGTGGCAGTGTGTGGTAATCACCCCAGAGTTTATACACTCAGTTGCCAGTTTATTAGGTACACCTAGCTAAAACTGCACTCCCACAGTAAATGCTACCTGTATGAATGTTAAAAGGTTGTAGAAAGTTTTTATTTTAGAGAGGGCTTAGCAGGGACAGACCGGGAGAAAAAAAAAATGGCCCTGGACTTTGATCCTGACCAGCCCACCAGAACGATTCACCGTACACTCCACCACGGCTGCCCTGCTAATGCACACACCTACAAACAGGACCAGCCTCTAATAAACCACCTAGCTGCATCACAGCCATTGATCAGTATAGCACTACTACTTTAAAAAGGCTGCAGAACACATCCTGAAATTGTCATGATTGAACAACCTCACATCACATGAAGCCTCAAGATCAAAAGACTAAAATATCCACAAGCCTCACTGAGACAGAGAAGTGTCTAACTGCTGCTCAGTGTCAGCTGGTTAGCTTTAAGTCATGGGAGTACAGAGAATAATAAAATAAAACTGGTTGAACACTTCTCCAAACATAGAACATAACCTAAGAGAGTAGCACCTATCATAAACCTGGTTTCAAATAAAATAATATATAAATTAACTAATAAAGGCAAAATTTTAGATAAACTGCAAAAACATAGCAACAGTTTACACCAGACTGTAGACACTAGTGAAGTGGTAGGAATCTTGTTGATGGGCATCAGATCTAGCAAATCACTAAAGACACATTCTCCCACACAAAGTGTGAATTGTGTGAGGGAAAGGATTGATTGGTTTTATAATGTGTACAGGCTATTTGCAACCAAAGGCAGACATTAAATAAAATTAGCTAATTAACAAATGTAAATGTCTAAAACATTTATATGTGTAGAATAACAAGACAAAAACAATCACATGAAAATGCTTATTTTAGCAAAATAAAATTACACAACAATTATAATGAAGTGATTTATTTCCCACAAAATCCCCACAGGACAGCCAAATGTAGACATTCAGAGCTATACTAACGTTAAGCATCAGATTTTAGTTTTTCCATCAGCCTGTTTGAACACACAGTTACTGTAGTCTTTACCTCAGTTCTTTCTTTCTGGTATATTTACAAAACAGTACTGGACCAACAGCATTTGCATTTCACTGATTCTGATAACATGTATTAACACATTTAGACGCATATCTACCGTTCATCTGCACTATCTCTGGATTTGCTGTCCTCTCTGACTACTCTTTCACCCATGAACAGGGCTGTGGCATCTTCCTCTTCCCGGGTACTAGTAACCTACTACTACTACGGAATGAGTCGATTACTTTTTTACATTTACTTGCATTTCAGCAATGACCTTTGACTCTTTTCTCTCTGAACTTTTCAGCCCCACCCTTAACATTTTCAAACTGTGCTTTTCCATTTTCTGTTGTAGCTCATTATCCAGTGTCACTGAGGTGAGAGTGAGTGAGACGGACAGGGCGGGGCTAAGGGCTGCATAGACTTTCATATGGAATAGAGCAACAAGCTTGGGGGGGGGGGGGGGGGTCTGTATCATAATAATATGTTTTGATCCCAAGATTAAAAACAGTTTGTGTGTGTTTGTCTTTTTCAGGTGTTCGCCTACCTGCCAGTATTTAATTTTTACATCATCCTGAATGCAGGTCCAGGAGGTACACACCACAGCATGTTATTGTAAAGAGAAGACCTATTAGGTAGGTTGTCCCACATATTTCTCAATTTGCACATCTTCAAGTTCTCAGAGCAGAATTTGTAACAAGGGCAAACTGAGCAGAGCAGCCAACCTCATGTCACCTCGTCTGCTTGCTCTTATGCAAAAGCTAGAAGAGTGGCATTCCTCATTTTGGCAGTTCTTGTTTCTTGTAATTTCTTGATAATTATTGTTTTGTCTGAAAACAATCCTGCGACACAGAATGCTAATGGCATATTTACACTTATTATAATGGTAAGAGTGCAAGAGAGAAAGAATTCTCAAGCTGCTGTCAATCAGGAGAAATGGAAAACGAGCCTTCAAATATACGTTGGTTGGCCTGTAGAATAACTTGAGTGCAGACGTAGGTTTATATAAATAATTGTCAATAAAAGAGTATAATTATGACAAATGTTTACTTCAGCTGTGCAGCAAGTGTCTTGAACTGGATGAGCCAGCCCAACTGTACTTGATAAAACATTTTTTATTTGGTTGTGGACACTGTAGGTTGAGTGTTACAGTCAGCCATAGAAATTACAGGTGATGTGTTGGTTGTGTTTGTAATCTTATTGGCAATTAAATTATTTGCAATTTATTACGTTGGGTCAACTTTCCCACTGAGGGGGTAGTTTAATTTTCGGTCCTCACTGTTTTCAGTTGCAATGACTTTAAGTTGGCCATCAAGCTGTTTGGCAATTTGGAAATGTGACAATGTGAAACATAACATTACTTCGAAAATCGAAACCCATTTCTTTCAGGAATATTTTTGAGTGACCGGGATGACCCTGGAAAAGTGATCTGAGCAGGATAACACAGAGGTGACTGCTCGTTATGTATGTCAGAGAGAGGAGAGTAAGAGATACAAGAAGAGTAGGAGAAAGGGACCAGTGGCTTTAATGGACCTCCCTTTCATTGACCACAGTAAAATCAATATGCCTCAAACTGGCCAAGAGCATTTTGTGCCCTCTTAAGGACAATGCTAATTATTTATTTTGTTCAGCAGAAAAACGGCATGCTGTTCAATGCTGGTGATGTGTGGTAAACAACACTGTTTGCATTTGAATACATTTGTTAAAAGTCAGCAAGACAGGGGCCCTCCGAAACCTTCTACAAACAGCATTGTCAACCTGTGTTCACTTTTCAAGTCACATTTGTCTACAGATCCCTATGATGTTTGTTTTTTTATTGTCAAGTTTCTTATACACAGACTTAAGTGTCTGCTGGCATTGCTAGGATTTCCCAGCATTTTTCAGCTTCTTTGGTTCCCGCTACATGAGCTTTGTGAATATCAAACTTTAATATGACTTAATCCGGACACATTTAGCACTGCCTCATCTCTCCAGTAGTTCATTTAACTGATTAAGCCCCTTGTGTTTAATATTTCCCAACCTGAAAAAGCTGAGAGTGTTGTCGTTGTTTTCCTGTCATTGCAACATGCTGCTCTGATAAATTACATGTATGTATGTGTGTATTAGCCAGATAAATCAGTCACTACAGTTTTCTGAGCCAACTCTTTCAGATCCTGATAGATCTTGTCTTCTATGGCCAGTTTATTCACTAGCTGATGCTCTTAACAGTAGCCTCAGGCATGTGTGATCTATCAGTGGACACAGTGCTTTCCTCCAGCCTCAGGTCCAGTCTTGATCTTTTTGATGTATGAAAATGTAGCTTCATTTTTGGAAAGACCATTCAGCTGTGCTCACATCATTAAGAGACGCATCCTGTCATATCATTAAGTGCAATTGTGGCTGCTGTTTATTTTGTTCACTACGTGGTTCACACTCTGCTGACTTGCTGACAAATGTCTGGTGTTTTAATGGTGTTTGGTGGAGCATTTTCCTGGATCAGCTTTGAACCCAAGCAACTTGAGAACTCCCTCATAATGCACAATAGAGAACAGACCTGCTGTTGTTATTTATAAGGAGATTGAGGCACATAATGTGTATTTCATATTAATATCCGAGCATAACATTATTAACAGTATTTTAATTATTATGATGGAACTTAGGCTACATATAGTACGATGCCACTGATCCATTATTTAATTTGTTCAGGAGGGCTGTAATTAAAAGCATACCCACTCAGGTGTTTTCAATTACTCAGACTAATAACACCTCTAGTCAGGTAGACGTTTGGTGGGTCTATTTATAAAGGGGTGTCAGTTGGCCAGGTAACTTAAATCTTATGCTGTAAGATTCGCTGTCACTTTTTGTCGAGCAGTGCATATGTCATGTTTGAATTCAACTTTTTTAAAAATACTCCAGACCTTATCCTCTGCACACGCAAACAAGTTCTCATCAATTGAAAGTAAGTAATAGAGACTTAAAGTCACTATCTTGTAGAACTTACATTGGTGTGTTACTAGCCATGAGAAGCCTATAACCAACCTAATTTAAATGCTGCGCCAAGATTAGATGTATTGCATGATCAAAAATAGGTCATGAAGCCAGTTGTTTGCATAACCAGCCTCTTACAAGTCTGCTTGTCTTAGTGCATACAAATATTTTAATAGCTAGGAGCAGGAAACAGATCAATTATACTCTAATATAATGGAAATGTTTTTTTAATAGAAATCCTCACAGTTCCCATGAGATCACGGTGTAGCTTGAACTGGACTTCTGACTGGATCCTTTTTTTTTAATTTTATTTTTTTATGGCTATCAGGAAGATATTTTTGCTGGTTTGGGGTTTCTGCTCTGTAGGCCAAAAACCTCTCATCCCCGTTGGCATCTACATTTTTGCAAGCAATTTCAATGACACCCACTGACTTGGAAGGTTTTGACGCAAGCAGAAACAAACAGCAGTGTGGTGTTTTGGAAGGGCGCCTGGTTGGCCAGTCAGCTAAAGACTGAAAGCTTAGCTCTGCACCACCCATCTCACTGGAAATGTGTCATTTGATTTAAAAGCTTAACAAAATGATGCAGTCATTTGCTTCAAAGCAGCACGCCAAAGTCTACCTGAACACCACATCAACAAATACATTAAGCACCTCTACCTAACCATTTAATAACAACTAAATAGTGAGTGGCAGGTGAGGTGTAAAAGCACGCTGAACAGGATTCTTCAATGGAAGGTCGTTCTTTCGGTCAGCAAGGAATCGCACTGCTATGTCAATACATTCTCCATGTGGCAACAACCCTCTTCAGTTGAATGTGCAGTACTACTACTACTTGGTATCATCACTAGCCACCTAAATTTTATTGTCATTAAGGAAAAGCTTTGAAAAGTGTGATTTGAACACTTTTTTTTTAACAGATACAAGTGAAATTCTTGTTTGGCAGTTTATCTAGACAGAGTGGCAAGTCCCGCCTTCTCAGTAGTAAGGGAATAATTGATCATTAATGTGGATTTGTCCGAAGCGCTGGAATAAATAAACTTTTATTGTATTAAAGTGGTATCTGATGAATGGGTTTTTATAACAAACATTGAATGTTTTTGTGTAATATGGAACTAAAGTAGAGGTTTAAAACTTACTAAACTCCATGAGTATTTGGGCATAGACAGACAAATGTTTTGGTTCTGACCTCTGGCTAATCAAACAGTAAAAAAACTAAAATCACAGTATATACCTTGTTTAAGTAGTTTACTTTGTCTCAGTGAGTCACAGTGAAGCCTGCCAGCAGAAGGTAACTGGGTCTAAAGATTATTATTAGCCTGTATTCCTCATGCACATTCATCAGCTGCAGGATCAGTTTCCTAGCGGGACCAGGGTAGCCATTGATTTATCTTAAAGCTGCAGACCTAGTCTCTCGGTCCGGTCCTGAACGTTCTCTTGTGACCTTGACATAAATACAGAAAAAGAAACTCTTATGACTCATGGACCTACTGCGATCTGTGTGGTGCATTATTTGTTGAAGGCATAATGTGTGTCAAAATACGATTTCAAATGGAATATTGTTGTGCTGCAGAGATGTCTTGGACTACACATCATATTCTACAGACTTAAGAAAACATCTTTTGTACAGATCAAAAATCACACTATAATCATTTAAATATGTTTTTCAGTGAAAATGAGAATAATGATGTAAAAGTGATCTTTCACTCCAATATCGTAATTGCTGTATCAGTCAAAATAATCACAATTAGATATTCTTTCAAAATTGTTCAGCCCTAATTGCGATACGTGTCCATCCTTGTATCCTTGTTTTACCTGCTGCACCTCTTGCATGTGACTCTTCTCTTTCCATTGTGACCCTGTGTTATTTGTGTATTTTAACCAACATAGATAACAGTAGTTGTGAAAACGGTGTGTATTTAAGGAAATAACTACTGTATATGTATCACTCCTTTTTTATTATGTGAAGACGCAGACAGTAGCCCTCAATTTAGTCTTGCTTCCAATTTTTCCCTTCTCCATAGGGCAGGATGCAGTCTTCAAACCACCGACTGCGAGATATGGAGCAGCACCACCCGCTGCTGTCGGCAGGTGCAGATGTCGAGACAGGGAGCCTGGCAGCCGGGGTGATGGTCGGGGGTCCCCACGCGGGCCACACAGCGGGGAACCGCACACTGTGGTTCATTCAGGACAGCTGTGGGATGGTGTGTGCAGGCATGACCTGGTTCCTGGTGCTGTACGCTGAATTTGTGGTGAACTTTGTCATGCTGCTTCCTGGCAAAAACTTCTGGTACTCGCTACTGAACGGGGCCACCTTCAACTCACTGGCTGTGCTTGCGTTGGCCTCACATCTGCGCACCATGTTGACTGACCCGGTAAGCGTGTTAAGGAGAGTAAGAATGAGGGAAGGAGGGTAAAAGTAAGATAGCAGGGTAATGAAGAGGTAGAGAAAACATTAAGGGTCTATGAGTAAGACAAAGCTTGTGTTTAGCAAAACAAATACCACACACCACAATAAAAGGATATAACCATACGATAATATTTAGAGTCCCTCAAATATAATGCAAAATTATTGATGTACTTTAAGTTAAAGGAAAATGTTGGTTTTTTTTGTAAGGAATCATCTTAATTAAATACAAGTTGAAATGGTGCTCGCTGTTTGAATTGAGTTAGGGTTGGGAGTCATACTGTAGTAAAGACACTTATAATCAAGCACACTGAGTTGAGGGACGCTGTGTGGGAAAGTTGTGTAGGACAGTCTACTAAATTTTATGACATTTTAATTTATAAGAAGTACTCCCAGAAAATAATAGGCCCAAGAACAAAGTCAACTTAGAGTTTGCATTTCCACCACATCTGACACATCTGAACAACTTTAAATGCTTTTGGAGTTTTTGCTTAAAGGTTCAGTGTGTAATATTTAGGAGGATCTATAGACAAAAAATTCAATATAATGTACATAACTATGTTTTCAGTGGTGCATAAAGACATAACGAGCCGTTATGTTGTTATTACCTTCGAATGAGCCATTTCTATGTACATACACCGCATTACCCCTTATATGTAAGTCGCCGTATTTCTACAGTAGCCCAAATGGACAAACTGCTCTACAGAGTGCGTTTCGTCACTACATTGAATATGGAAGAAGGAGAAGCAGGAGGAGGAGAAGAAAAAGAAAATAGAGGACCACATATTATTTAGCAGAAGAGCCGACAGAGCGTGTCGGACACCGTAGCTTCTCCTACGCGCTTGCAAAGGGAGGGGTGAGCGGTGACTGAGCCGTTGGTTGCGATTCAGATGCCACTAAAACATACACACTGAACAATTAAAGGTCTACACAATTTCAATGGTGAAATAATTACTTATTCCCCCCATTCCTGCATATTATATCAAGCCTTTTGACATTTTTAACAATGGATCATTTGGTATGCCTCTTCCTACTACAGTGTGTGATGAAACATTCAAAAGGGCTGTTGGTGCAGGGATTCTTTTGCACTTGGTCACTGATACTTTGTGACTGTGCTTGGTGAATCCAGTCAATTCATGTTTCAGGGGGTTGTAGCTCAAAAACATTTAGTGCTACTGCTTCAATGTTGACTCTTGAATGTTGGTTCTTACTCGGAGAAACCGACCAACAATTGCTCCGTTTAAAAGCCCAAAATAGTACACAGCAAGTTGTGCAGTAGTGTGTCAAACTAGGGTTTTGAATAAGCTTTAAAGGTCTTAAGTTTAGCTGTGCATTTCACTTTAAGTGGTAGTTACACCCGATTCTGATTCATTCGGGAAATTGCTATATTATGGGCTCCCAGACCAAAGAGATTGCTTTAGTTAAAAAATACCCTACATTTTGTCAGCCTGAAAAAATAACCAGCACAGTCTGTGTATATAAATTCAGTCATAATCAAACACGAGTCTTACTTAACTGCTGAAGATAAGTTAACTATTGGAACAGTGTGTCCAAGTAGTGGGTGTTTGGACAGATTTGTAACTGACAGCATTTGTCTTTGTCTGTCTTCACCCCTCTTTAGGGTGCAGTTCCTAAGGGCAATGCAACCAAGGAGTACATGGAGAGCTTACAGCTGAAGCCTGGTGAGGTCATCTACAAGTGCCCCAAGTGCTGCAGCATCAAGCCTGAGAGGGCACACCACTGCAGGTCAGTCTTAACTGTTGGGGCCAATTTTACAACACATTAAACTGTGACATGCTCCTTTACCCCGCCTTGTCCAACTTGTGCTTTTGAAAACATCTGTATAAGGACTTTTTGCGTGAACAGGAGCAGTATAATTGATGACATAAGCAGAGTCAATGTGTCATGCATCAACCTCTTCTCTATCTAGTATTTGTAAAAGATGCATCCGGAAGATGGATCACCACTGCCCTTGGGTCAATAACTGCGTGGGAGAAAAGAATCAGAGATTCTTTGTACTGTTCACTGTAAGTACACTCAAGTACTCATGGTTCAGTTTGTTTCATTTTAACAAAGGGTATGTTAAGGATTAGAAATGAACATTAGACATCAGGTAATTCCTTCACATATCACTTATTCATTGTGATAATTGAAAAAACATAGAGTTCATATAGTCCCTTCTCTTTACAAAATGCCATTCTTCTTAAATTACATGACTTTATATCAGACTAGAGGGGAAAAAATGGAAAATTGTCCCGCTAGTATTTCATGATGCAATAACCAGCTGAGGTTTACAGCTCAGCAATGATGTAGTGCACGACAGACAGAGGCCTTCATGAAATGTTCTGTCAAAGCCATTTATGACTGTTGACAAATTCAGCACTTTTTTATGGCTTCATATGCTGACTGGAACTTTTTTGATGACAGAAACATAAAGCTGTCATATGGCTGGGCAGCACAAGGTCACCTGCGCAGTGCAATGTTTAGTTTTCTCTCCTTACAGATTGCCATAGATAGAGAGGTTGAAAAACACTGCTGATCAAAAGTTTTTAGAGTTTTATTACAGAAGTGAAATGAATAAACACAATATCTGGAAACTTGTGGGAAAAGAGTGTGGATGCAGTGTTTCTCATTGTTTTGGGGGGTCGGCCCGCCCCTCCATGAAAGAATGACAAAAATAAATGTAATTAGGCAGACAGAATCACGATATTTGAAAACAAAAATGGAATTAACTGTAAAATGCCATAAAGAATTGCAGTTACATTTGACTATGTCTAGATGCATATTTGCTTGATGCATCATATTCACTGATATTAATTTGTAATGTTTTCTTGTTTAATTGATTAAATTCCACCCCATGATTACACACTGTTTCTGAAATCCTAGGGGAAAGACTGCAATGGCTTCTCCTTTTTGCCTTCTCTCTGCCACTTTTTCCTCATCATCTCTCTCCCTCATTTTCTGCTCCTCTTTCTGCAGATGTACATAGCCTTGATCTCTGCCCATGCCCTAGGCCTCAGTGGTATGCACTTCTTCACCTGTATTAAAGTCCAGTGGAACGGTAAGGCCTCTCTGTGTTGCTGAATCGACCCTGACATTTGGTTGACAGAAATTCAGCTATTTACACAAGAAACTGAAACTATTTAGAGAGATGAAAGGAGACAGACAAGTAGAGCTCAGCAGATGCTTCTGATGGTAGCATCTAGTGGCAGGACTTTCCCAGTGTTATAGGAGCACGTATATGCCATGCCTTTAAAAATCATTCCGTAAAGTGATTATGTCAGTATTGTGTAGTCATGAAAAATTTTGTGACAACTTGGAACAATGAAAGTGGTTGTTAACTCTTGTAAGAACAGCTGCTCTGCACAGGTCATTGGAGTTGTGCAGCACAATCATCACTGCTGCCATAGAGCTTTTCCCACTCCCATGTGCGTCTCTTTGCAGGAATGAACCAGAAAATTAAGAGATTTAATTCTTAGAACTCCAGCCTCTACTGTCCTCTACAAGATTATACTCTGAATTAGCAAGGGCATATTAGCCACCAATTTGTTTTCCATGCTTACCGGTATTCCAGCCTACTGTGACTGTGTAAAATGGATAGATGCATTAGAGATGTGCACACAGCACGTCCAGTCCTACATTTATATGTATGGAATCCACACATTAGGTTATTAGTTTCCACAACTTTGAGATATGTCCTCTTCAAATTTCTTTGCATTTCTCCTCCTGTCTGTCTCTCTTACTGTGACCAGAGTGCAGTGACTTCTCTCCAGGGGTGTCTGTGCTGTTGCTAATCTTCCTCTGTCTTGAAGCCGTCCTCTTCCTCACTTTCACAGCTGTGATGTTTGGTACGCAGATCCACTCCATCTGCAATGACGAGACGGTCAGTATGCACCGCACCCTGCAAGCTTTCTTCCTCTTAACAGGTTGTGTGTGTTGCAGGGAGGGTAACTGTAAGATGAAGGAAAAAGACGGCAAGGGAAGCTAAGTCTTGATAAATGCCTTTGGCTATTCCAAGTATATATGATATGTAAATTTGTTTATTTAATTCTTTGTTGCCTTATCTGAGTGCTTATTGATGTAATTGTGTATCTTAGCATGCAAATGAGCCAAAGCAAACATACAACTTAATAGGGAATCTTTCATTTACAGAGGGGTTTGAATATCTTGCAGGAGATTGAGCGTCTTAAAAATGAGAAGCCCACATGGGAGCGTCGCATGAGATGGGACGGAATGAAAGCTGTGTTTGGGGGTCCGCCCTCCCTGCTGTGGTGCAATCCATTCACTGGCCTGCGTCTGCGGCGCCTGTTGCTGTTGACCCACGGTCGCCGTGGTGGATCGGAGTTTTCTGTCTGAGAGCAGGACAGACTGATGCAGCTTGCCAGCACTCGACGTTTCTAAAGCAAGATTTCTTGTATGCCGGGGCTAAGATGGACCTCTGCTCCCTGAGGCTGTCCTTTGTGTGTGGGTGACAAGGACAGCTGCAGTCTCCTCCAGCGGGACCCCACTGCATCACAACCACCACTGAAAGTTTGTATTCTCTCTTTCTCACATGCTGATGTAGACCCAATACCTTTGGCCTGCACGAGTATGCTGAACAACTGGAATATTGTTTTTAACATGAGCAGCGTTTTGGTTTGTTTGTGTGTTTTTACGTAAAGCATGCAGTATGTAACTCAAGTGAGTCTTTTAATCCCTGCGAGACCGCCCGAGGTGCTGTTTGAACTCAACACCTGCACCTTCAATGCACAACTTCAGCATTTTGTTTTCTTTGCTGCGCACATGAGATTCAAGATTAGCGTTTTAATTTTTTGAAGAGGGATCGGCAACACGGAAATGCTTGAATCTGCTACTACTGGACCGAGACAAGGGGATCACAGTCAATGACGTGCAGTACTTACATTTCACTTGAGAAAAGGTCTGGAAAAGGAGCACAGTGGACATCAAACATGGAACTGTGCTGCCTTGATTTGCATCTAACAGCTCAAACAATCAGCATATCAGCCAGGAAATGAGGCACCATCACTATTTGTTCAAATGGATGAACAGGCTACTGTGAACACAAGCCTCATTTTAATTCCAGAGGACTGAGTGGCTTTTGCTTCATGCCCTTTGTCACGTTTTTCCTTCCTTGGGCTGAAACGGTTCCTCTGGCCAGTAGAAATGATTTATTCTTTTTTTTTTTTAAACTGCTGAAGCTTCTTTAACTTTGGTCACAGTGACCACTCCTCAACAGTTGACCACGATGACTCACTGGAGATGACTACTGTTATTGTATTAGTTGTATGTATGTGTCCATGAGTTTGCCATTCCACCACTCCTACATGCTGCTCCACATCTCATTCTCCACAAACTATCAGTGACACCCCCCCCCCCCCCCCCCCCCCCCCCCCCCAGACCATTGATATGCCACACTGTGTTCTCATAACAGAGTGATTCAGGTTGAAGGAAGGTTTGGCTACTAAAAAGATTGTTTTACTCGTACACATTTTCTTTTCTTAATGTGGAATCCATATACAAGGGCAGTTGGATAAGACTTCATAGCATTTAAACTCTTTAAAAAAAACAACCTTACAAACCCAGAGACCTAGCCAAGTCTCAGACGTGGTGGCTTGTTAATGTGGAATCCATATACAAGGGCAGTTGGATAAGACTTCATAGCATTTAAACTCTTTAAAAAAAAACAACCTTACAAACCCAGAGACCGAGCCAAGTCTCAGACGTGGTGGCTTTGCATGCTCCCTGGCCACCGTGTGGTGCCACATTTTGAAAAGGAGAACTTAAAACAGTAGCACAACCTCCTTTGGCTTGTTGTGAGCTCATTCCCACCAAGAGAGCCAAGCTCCATTGTGCTGTCAGCCTGTAGAATTAAAAATGCTGAGGAACGAGGCCCTTTATACAAGCTTCAATAATAAGTGTCAGGGAGCTCAGCAGATGCTTCTGATGGTAGCATCTAGTGGCAGGACTTTCCCAGTGTTATAGGAGCACGTATATGCCATGCCTTTAAAAATCATTCAGTAAAGTGATTTTGTCATTATTGTGTAGTTATGAAAAATTTTGTGACAACTTGTTTCCTGTTTTTACTCATAATCAATGGGCCTGTTTGCACTGGATGAGTGTGACCTTTTGAATCTAGAGTTGAGGATTTAAAGTCAAGTCCTGGCTGATAGGCTGGTATTCAGAGTAGTGTCATTTTTAAATCTCCAAGTCTCCTCGCATAGCGGACAATATACTGCTGTTTGTTCTCATCTGTGGTTTTCAGGAGAAGGAACTATATCTCCACTGTTTACACTAAATTATATCTGATGTGCTATGGCTATAAAGAAACATGCTGGCATTAGAATGTAAATCTAACCTATTTTGGGACTAAGGGAAACAGCACTGAAAGCTAACTGATATCAGGGGATTTTATTAATGCTGGCCTCTCGTTTCTCATTTTATTCTGCTTGACTGCATCACGTCAGCAACAGATTTCTGATTATGTTGTGAGAATATCACCTTCTTACAAACAATGTCAAACTTTCTCATTCAGCATGGTGCATTCGGCAAGTCATTTATCCTAACGTGCTCAGTGTGCTTTTTAATTTAAGTGGTGCACGATGAAATGCGGTTGAGCCAAACACACGGCGTGTCCAATAAAATCATATTCAATCTGTCTTTCATTTATGTGTGCATAATACATATCAGACGACTACGGTAAAAATCCATGCTGTTTAGTTTGGCAGATGCACAAAAATGTTGCTGATCAAGCAACAGCTGTTATTAAAAATAGTTGCAGGTATTGGTTGCAAAATTACATCCAGAGCGAATGCAAGGCCTTGAATCTTATAAACACAGAAGGTCATTAGAATAGAAGTAAATATCTGAAGCAGAACTTGTGGTAACAGTGGCAGCACTAATACACTGCTAAACCTTTAATTGTATTTGTAGGACGTAGCAGACCATCAGAGCTAATTATGGATTGACAGAGATTGCTTTGATGTAAGTATTTAATGTTGACTGGTATAATTAGGGCAATAATATGGGCTTGGTTGATGTAAACAAGATAATCCTGTTTCATGACCAAACTCAGATGTTGTAATCATAACATCTGAAATTGGGATGCTGTTACAGGGTATGTAGTTTAACATTCATGCTCAGCAATAGAAACAATGAATGACAATTTTTAAAGGGTTATACCGCTAATTGTATTTTCTCCTCCTTCTGCTGAATGATTCAAAAACGTACCATTGCCATTGGGAGAGGATTGTTTGACAATTTGCAAAATCGCATACACCTATACACTAAGGTATTTCTCAGATTTACACAGAAAATGTGTGATAAAGAACATTGACGGGTGTTTGATGACAGTTACCATTAACATTGCTATGAACAGCTGAGAAAGGTTTTATTTCCTACTCTGCTGAGAGATTGTTTCCTCAAGAACAAATGTCCTTCAGCTTTATAAACAAAGTATAAAGGTTACTATTAACAATATATACATGGAATGTTTTATTCAATTTTTTTTTATTAATGTGTCATAATCTTATAATGTCATATCTTTAATGTCATTCGTTTACATAATAAACTTGATTAAATTAAAGCTATAAATTGTGATTGATTGTCCTTAATACACAATTAATTTTCTCTGCACCTGGGTGCACTTGTTTTTGGATAACACACAAGGTGTTGAGGGTTTGCCATAGTTATTAGTTACGCTTTACCTTAAAATTGAGATATAACAAAATCCAGTACAAATGAACAGAAACGGGGGAAACAAATTTGCTGCAAAGTAAAAAAGATCCCGTAAAGACATATTGAAACATTTAGTGACCTAAATCTGACACAGGTGCCGACCTAAGCAAATCAGTGACAAAAAACATTATGTAATTATAATAATTATTCCAAGTATAGACATTGGAAGTTTTTCCAAATGTCAGCTGACTAATAAAATGCAGCATCCCTCCTCAATTAGACAGACACACTTTCAAGTGAGAGATGTATAAAAACAAATACATGTGTACTGTCCTCAGTATATATATTGTATATAGTTTGACAGCCAGCCAAACTCCTTCCTAACATCAAGACTCTGAAGACAGTTGGTCTCTTGTCCACAGGTTTAATGAAGTTGCAAGGAAAGGTGAAACTGAAGTGTACAAAAGCATAATAAATACTATGCTTGCCTTTAACATGTACAGAGATACAGGACATAAATATATGTACATTCAAACTCTAATATGAATTAAATCTTGTCTGTTTAACATGTGATCAATTATCTGTTCATTCACTCCTAATTGTCCATCTATGAACTTCTAATATGACTTAAGAACCGTGCAACCATTAGTAATGGCAGATTCTGATATCAAACTTCACAAACTCTCCCAAAATATTAAACTCTGAGGTTGTAAATGACAATAAACAATCAATCCATACCCACAATGCTGCCAAAGGCCTAAGATGCATGCAGATGTAGCTGACTTATCTTAAACAACTCCTGCCTGTGCCATGCTCATTTACTTCCTGAACACTAGTCACATGATGTACTTCCTTGTTTCTTAAAGTGACCACAAGGAAATATAGGAACACATAAAGAAATAGTTTTAGACAAATCAGAACAAAGTTTCATTAACTTAGCTGTAAATAAACAAAGGCAAATATTTCAACACTGGAATATTAAAATGAAAACGTGAAATGTCCATGAGGATATTACAGTGATATGAGGGTGTCCTGAGTTGACAGTGGCGAGTAAGCAAAACTTAAAACTAAAAACTTAACATCAGATATGTGTAATAATATAAAATCGGAAATGGTAAATACACAGCCCAAACCTTTGAAAACATATTTAAAACTTAACACATTATATCAAAAAAGTGTTCTTATGAATAATTATGAATCTGGTGGCCTCAACTTTTTGGACTTAAATTCATTAAACAATATTTTTAAGATTAATTGGGCTAAGCATTTTCTAAAAAACCCTGTCTCGATTTGGAATTTTATTCCCCACAACATATTCTCTGGCTGTGATGGTCTGGGCTTTATTTTGAACTATAATTACAATGTGAACAAACTCCCTGTAAAACTGTCCACTTTCCAAAAGCAGGTCCTTTTAGCATGGTCTCTCATTTATAAGCACAATTTCTCACCTCACAGTTATCTTATTTGAAATAATATAGATAGATATGTAGATATTTTATATAAAAACAAGTCACTCTTTTTTGAGAGTTAGTTACAGAATCAGATTCTGCTAGTGAGCCAGCTATTTAATGGAGATGGGAGATTTTTCTCTTATAGAGAATTTTTATTAACATCTAATATTCCAGTTACGCCAAGAGAATTTGCAATTGTATCTGACGCCATTCCATCAGGCACAATAATGCTTTTTAGAAATACTGGCAGACCTCCACCTACTTCTGTCTCTCTCCCCAGTGTGGCTGAATCACCCGTTCGAACAATTTGTTTTTCTCTACTTCCTCAAAATAATAACATTCGTTCCTTGTTTCAGAAAGAAATGGTATCTAATCCACATGTTAAGTTTTAGTGGAACCGATTTGTAAACAACATTGACTGGAAAAAAGTTTGGATCATTCCTCACAGATTCCTGATAGTAAACAAGGTGAAGAAAGTGTCATTCTTAAAAGAGACATCAATACAAACTTTTTTTTCTGTGAAAACCACCCGAAACTGTTTTGCACCTGTTTTGGTATTGCTTACACACCAGAACATTTTGGCAAAACTTGAGCAGATTCATCATTGACCATATTTATAAAGACTTTGCCTTAATGTGGGAGAATGTGGTATTTTTGCTTTAATAGATGTCAAAGAAAATATGTACTTAAAATTCTGATGCCAAAAGTCCATATTCATAAATGTAAATTCAGCCATAAAAAAAATGATTTTGTATTTTTTCTCCATGAGGTTGTGCATTATATCAATTTGATTTCTGGCCCCAGCAACAAAAAGGCAGTTAAAACTATCAATACATGGTCCTCTTTCTCTTTGTAATAGCCTATGAGCTTCTCCTGGCAAAGCCTTAGCTTATTTTATCTGTGTTTTATATGTTTGTATACTGTTATGTATATCTTTGTAAGATCCAACTGAATTGTAACCCCCTTTTTGCAATAAAGATGTGCATTTAAAACTTTAAAAGCCACTCTACCTCCTTCCGTCCAGTGGGTGGCAGTATAACGCTTTCTGCTGGTGTGAGATCTGCAGATGAACTCAGAAAAGAAGAATGAGTTTACGATTGTGTTTTATTACCTGAATCTACCTGACAGGCAGCAGTCTTCCCCACAATATATTGTCTTTCCTAAAGCCTTGATCAAATATCGTCGCCTTCAGTTTGACTGACAGATCACGATTATGCTTGAATTCATTTTTTATCCTAATCCTGCCGTTATTAATGTGTATCTTACGCGTTTAAATGGTTACCGTGGTTGCGCCAGAAGCTGGGAGGAAGCGCTGCCTGAAAAGCAAAACTCAGAGAACACAAGCCCTAGTATTTTGCAGCTTTGTTGTGGCGCGGCGCTGTCTCTACCGAGAAGTCATGATGGCAGCAAGGGACATTTTACAAACAGAGCAAATTGACTACGAGCCAGTGGTGAACCGCTGGCTCATAGACTATTACTTTTTTCTAGCTCAAGAGATGTTTCAAAAGGACCAATACGCGGACTTCTGTGGGTTAAGAGACATACTGGGCTGTAAGTAACAAACTGCCGCGCCAAGTTGTGTTTAGCTAACTTCGCTCATTGTGTCCAAACTCATTTTTATGTTACCAGTCCATTTTGTTTACTGCATGCCAACTGTCCTAAAAGGACTTAAGTCACTGGCCCGCTTTGAATGATCCTGAATGCTCGTCACGGACAGTATTACCTTCTTTCAGGTGTTAGCTATTTTAGCCCCAGCCCTTAACGTTAGCCCTGGCTAAGTTTGAAAACATTGTTCATTGTGAGGAAACTTCAGTCATAACATCCTAAAGCTCATGTATCATTAGCCCAACGTTATAACTTAAGCAAAACAAACAAGAAAGTTTATTTTGCAATTCTACTTTCTCATAGGCTAAATGTAGGTCTATGTTCTTTGAGGTGATTGTATATAATATAATTTAATTAACTAGGAAGTCACAAACCTCTTTTGCAAGTGAGACCTAGTCCAGAGGCAAATAGCAGGTTCTAACAAATAACAAGACGACATCAGCAGCAACCGCAAAACCCAACAACAATTTTAGGTGCCACAATATTCCTTACAGTTCATAGACAAAGCAGCAATATTTGATCATATGTTTATTTGGCAAAGCAGCCGCAGCTAACAGTGAGCACGTCCTTTATTCTATGTTAAATAATTTAAAGAAATTAGGGTTTTAAGTTTGAGCTTGGCCTGCATATTATTTCAAGACCAAGGGCCATAGTAGAACAGGGTTGATTTACCGCCTGTCCTGATGGCAGGTAATTTGAACTGAAGCCAATTGTGTGACTTGAGATTCTGACTGCTTTGCAAAGTTAAAAACCTCCAGTTTAGGTATGTCGAAAGATGGGCGATGCCGTTGAAAATGTTATCGCCGTAAATAATTTCATATAATTCGATATCGATAATTATCACGATAAAGGTCAAATCATTATATAGTTCAGGTTTAGAGGCTGATTTTTGCTCCTGAGTGAAAGTAGAAGAAACCTTAAGGTATTTGTGGTTTTAAATATTCTTTATGGTCAGAACAAAAACTTGATGCCAAATCTGAGGTTGACCATTCAAAACTATTATAGTAAAATCTTTTTTCTACAAATATAAATGAGTAAAACTAAGTACAATCTTTTTTTCAGTCCCTTTTCCTCAAAAAAAGAAATTGCTAATTCGATCATCATTCAAATGAATTAAATCAAACATTTATTGAACATTTGTTATATTGCTATTGAGGAAAATGATATTGCGATACTTTATCAATATTGTTTAATTGCCCAGCCCTAGTCGAAAGGTTGCCTAAAATGAACAAACTGGTGAGGGTCCAGGCTGGCTGGGATGTTGTTCTTCATGTGTTGGAGAACCAGTTTCTCAAAACTGCACAGTAAAACAACTTTACACATTTTATTATATCATTGCATATATGGTCTTTAATAGGCCTGCAATGGAGTTTCTAAAATTAAAATGATTTAAGTGGTTGCTGAAATGCCATCGACCTACATATTAGGAAGTAGGTGACATGACAACCAATAACTAACCTATTGATGAGTTGGTTTAGTGATGGGTCAAACTTTAGAGAAATGTAACTCCATTTTTGCATTATTTATTATATAATTATTATTTTATTAATTTAATATTTATTTATTTATGTTCATAAAAAGGAGAGTGCCGATTTGTTAAACTATTCAATCATGCATAGATTTATGTTGATAAAAAAACAAATAACACGTATTCGAGCCGGCAGCTCACATTACCGCAGTAAATTCACTCTTTCAGGTAAATGTCAATGAAATAACGTATGTGCTGATAACACTGTTTGATTCCCATCTGTTTCATTTGAAGAGTTCTTACTGTGTGGTAGAAGGTGAAGGCATTATTCAGCATGAAGACCAGAGAGTGTACAGCCAACTACGTGTGCGAATGTGAATGGATTACTTATGAACATGTATTTTGGGTGACATTACAAGCCTATTCATTGTCTTGTTACAGGTGTCATCGATCGTCCTGTGGAGCGCACTGATACCATGGAAACAAAGATTCTAGTATTGAAGTTTCTCTGCTGGATACATGAGGGTGAAAGACCTGGTGAGAGCTCCATAACTTTGTAGAACACATTTGTATTGTTGGGAATTTCATTTAGCTGCATCTACGGTGTGTGGGTACAATTTAAAAGTAAGTAAGTAAATTATTACTTACTACTTAACTTACTTAAAACAAAAAAACAAACCAAAAAAAACCCATTAAGATAAGCTCGGTGTAATATTTACTTGCCTACCAGTAAGTAAAATACCCTGTTACTGTAAATTCTCACTTGGTTCACCACATATACCACAAAATGGCCCCACCTAGGATCTAAAGCTGCAAACTGGCTCATATGGGGAAAACATTTCTGCAATGTAGCTTGTGACCAGACCCAGACGTGCTTTAAAAGTGTTGTGATGATGTGAAATGATTAAGTGTATCGTTACAACCAAAATGTAAAACCAAATGCAAGGCTTTTCCATAACTCAGGAAGCATGCATCCAGTCCTAGCATATTGTGACCCAAACACCGTGATGAATATTGCTTTGTCTTGGTCTACAGGTGCATTCTGTGATTCTGACACGTCAGTAAGTCCTCTGGAATCAGCCTTAATATTGCTGGAACGTATGAATCAGAAATGCAGTATTCCACCTCAGTATTTCAAGAATGTATGCACTTCACTTAGAGAAATGGTAAGCACACAAATACTCTTGTTAAATTAAAAGCTGTATAAATTATTTTGTGTGTGCGTGCATGCGTGCGTGAATACACCAGCTTACACTACCTAGGCGTGTAATACACAAATGTGGCTATACTTGTTTTAAGATACTTGCTTTCACAAAGTTTAATCAGATTTGATTTAGCAAATTGTATTTTTATTTACGTCTTTAGATCGTTGGGATTTTCATTAAGAACAAGGACTTTGACAGAGCAAAAGCGGTGCTGAACAAACACTTTCCCAAACAAATGGTTGGCAAGGTGAGTTCAGTATCTAAAATAGCATGCTCACTCAAGTCTTATCACAATTTAACTTCCTCTCTTTTTGTTAGTGCATTCATATGGTCATTGCTCATACTGTCAGTGCATTGCTATAGAAACATTGCAGTGTCCTGAATCATAATCATGTGACAGTATTACAGTTAAGTAAGTGTTAATTAGTTAGAAGTGTGGGTTCTACTACTAGGTAAAATGCCAAGTGAAACAGATGACTTTAAATCGAGAACTTTCAGGATCATATTTCATAATCTGTGTTCTGTTCAGCCATGCCACTTGTTGAGTAGCTGCAAGGGTGAGGAAATCAAACAGCAACAATAGGAGATGCTGTGCTATCTGAATCTTCTTTTTTTTTTGGATACAGACACGACAACTACGTGAAATGTGTTTTCTAGTCTGCCTGAACGCAGGTTTGTTTTTTTGGTCTGATGACCCACGAAGGGTGAGGTTAAGCACATGCTGGAGGACTACACTGACCTGAACAACTCACCTACTGAGCATCCTCAGGCTAGGTTGTAGTCTGCTTTCCTTCTTTCCTTACCTCATTAGACGCCATGGTCAGTGTGTCTGATGTAGAGGGTTGTGGTGTGCTGTTTGGAGGGAGACACCAGTGGAAACATGTTGGAGAGGGTAGACATCAGAGCAGCTGGGGGATTGGTGGGCAGCAGCCTCCTGAACTGGTTTGGCTCGCTGACTCTAGTCAAGGTGCCCTGGTGGACGGATCCTCAACCTGAATACTCCTCACATTCTTAATGTTGGTTTGAGTTTCCACTCCAGCTCCCTCCTGTACGCATCCCTCCCCCAGCAGCCTTCTTCTTCAGTTGAAGAAGACCAGCCTTGAGCCAGCCTATGCAATGTTAGCTTCAGGTTCTGATGAGAGAACATTTGCTTAGCTGGAGGAAGAAGTGGAGGGAGAGCAGGCAAGGAGAAAAGATCTTTCCCTGCGCCTCTCGCTTACTCCGGAGAAGGGCACAAACTGGGACTCAGAGCAGGATGGGCTATTTCAGAGAGACTCAGGCAGCCCCCTGGAGGCTTCCCCAGCAGACCAAACACCACAAACCGAGGCTGTTGAGCTCGCAGTGCACGACAGCGTCTCAGGCACTGGACCTGTTTTTTTATTTTCTATCACACAAAAAATGTTTTTTTGTATCATGTTGGGCCTAATTGGCGTTATTATGTTAATTCCTTTTTAATATGACTTGCATGTATGTCTATACATTTTTGAAGATGAAACGATAGATCTTTCAGCCTGTTATTGATTTTAAGCAGTTCTTTAGTTTTGCATGCTTGTGTTACACATTACTGAATGTCTGTTCTCTGTAGAAAGCTATATTCAGAGCTCTCATCAGTCAGAAGAGTAACGCACATGAAGTCATCGAGCAGATCGACTTCAAGCGGTTTAAGGAGGAGATGTTGACCTTTTGCCAGACGCTCTGCCCAGTCAGTGTTCCCTTTCTCCACAAGGTATGTTGCTAAGTATTAAGTACAAGATAGACTCGTTTGAGTGAAACATTAAAAATTTGCTTTCTTTATGTTGATGAGGAACTTTTAGAAGTGTATTAAATTGTTAACCAATCATGAGCCTTATTAGAACAAGAAACATTTTAATATGAGTTTGATAAGAATTGCATGCCAATGATGACCTTGAAATTTGTTCAGCCAATTCACAGATACAATACTGTTGATTTGTTGGTGAAGTGCATGTCTTAATACGTTTATATGTTTTTCCGGTTTGTATATGTGGAACAGGCTGCAAAACAACTTGCTGATGAAAGACTTGCAAATCCAGACAAGGCAGCTGTACCTGATGATCAAGACAAACCTGGCCCGTCCTGTAGTACACAACCAAACGGAGTCCAGTTTGTACTCTCGTAGGCTCTCTCTCCCTCTCTGTTCATTTTAAACAAGTTTGTCATTACTGTTCAAATACAAAATTTAGTAGGCCCATCTCTGAGGGAGGGCCAAGGCCTCACTGACAGAATGTCAAAATCATCAAATTGTCTGTCTTCAATTATCAGGAAGAATTAGCCTAATACCCTGATACCCAACATTAGCAGCTACTCTAACCACATTTCACACCTATAACCACACAGTAAATTTTTCATTTGCTCACCATATCCAAGCACACTATTTCACATAATGCATTAAACACATATCAGCATTTAAAGACCACTGGTGTGATTGGGCTCCAGGCTAGAATGTTACCAGTACAATTTTATGGGAACATATCCTGTATTAAGCTTCTAATATGTCAACCTCTCTAATTCTCTGGCCTAAATACTCTGTTCAGTATCTCATTTGTGGCTCTGTCTGATCTTCCAGTAAACATACAATTATCCAGAAGACCAGCCTTGAGGCAGCCTACACAGTTTTAGCTTCAGGTTCTGATGAGAGAACATTTGCTCAGCTGGAGGAAGAAGTGGAAGAAGAGAAGCAGGCAAGGAGAGAAGATCTTTCCCTGCGCCTCTCGCCTACTCCCGAGAAGGGCACCAAGCGGGACTCGGAGCAGGATGGGCTATTTCAGAGAGACTCAGGCAGCCCACTGGAAGCTTCTCCAGCAGACCAACCACAACAAACAGATGCTGTTTCTCAAACGCAGGCAGGTTCGCTCTCAAAGACGCCCCCAGTGCGGGGGAACAGGAGGCTTTACACTGTGGCACGACTGGTGGTCGAGCCGGACAGCCAAGGGAGCTCGCAGTGCACAACAGCGTCTCAGGAACTGGAGGCTGAAGTCAGAAGAGAGGAACCACTGCAAGTACAGACAACACCCAATAACCCGGTAACAGAAAATGAGGTTACCCCACCCACATGGAAGCGCTCCCGACAAGCCACCAAAATATGCGCCAGGTAAAAGTATTTTTTAAGAGACATTAAACAGGCAAATGAATAAATGTTGCTGAATCTGTGTTTTCACTTCCCAGAGCACATTCTCCATCACACAGGCCTGTTCCTTATCTCGCCTCACAATTAATCACGGTGATAGTTTTGACTAGCGTGGTGTCTCAAAAACGTTGCTATCTGTCAGGCAGGCAGGAGCTGCTGCCAGCTGAGGACTGGATGCTTGTCTGAGCACGCTACAAGCTAATGGAGAGCTTTTCAAAAGTTCCAGGTGTAACAGAGTACAACTATGTGTCGTGATACCGAGCACTCATTAAAAGAAGTTTGTAAAACCGAATAAATGGAAGCAGTGAATTTTACAGGAACTATTCAGTTATGTTCAAAGACATGAATTAATAGGTCATCAGTAACAGAACACTAGGCTCTAACTACGTTACATTGATTTTCTGTATTTTTCCGAAAACATACGTTCCAAGTAGGAATGTACATAACCTCATGAGCAGACTGCTTCTGGTCATGTATTGCTCAGTCACTGTATGGTGCTTAAAACTGCTCGTTTTCTCACACAGAGCCTCTACTAGTTTGGCAGAGTTATCCGCAGACAGTGAGGAGTCGTCTGGCTCTGTAGCCAGTGGGGAAACTTGTGTGGGAAAATCCCATAACCAGTCCAACGGTTCGCTCAGCAGGTGAGTCCCGGGTCCTGTACTACAAAGCAAGATTTGACGTTGGCAAGGTAACTTCATGATTAACCCTGGGTTTTCAGTCCTACACCGGTGGCTAACCATATATGATATTAAACCTAATATGAGTTTTGAAATATATGCTCATAAAGCTTAATAAATAGTAAATGTATGCATTTCTTTTAACGGCTGCGACAGGCTGTGTGAAATGGGAGCAAATAAAAAAATTACTATACAAACATTATTTAAAGTGGTAAGTAGGATTGCTGTCGTAACTTTTAAGTTCAACGCTTATTGCTTAAGTCAGTCTATGTTGTAGGAAGATATCGGTACACAAAAGCATCTCATCACCCACAGCATACATAAAAGTAACCTATAAAACAGTCTTACATTTGCAGTCTTGCATGAGTTTCTTATATTATAGAGACTGGTTTTTGCTATTTGGGTGCAGGTATTGTGGGCGAGTTTTCCGTAAATGTTGGGAATTGAGTGTTGCAGACTGATCAAATTTGAGCTGAGACCAGGGAATAGTACATAGACACTTTATAGCAGTTAAAGATCTAAGAGGGATTGTGCTGATTGGTAATATCAAGATTGTCATAATTTATTCTAAACATCACTGATAGTCAATGAAGTTTAAACTACTCAGAGAGTGCAGAGTACAAGTATATAATAATAATAATAAGATTTATTTATATAGCACTTATCAAACAGAGTACAAAGTGCTTCACAACAAATCACACATAAAATGCAAAAACAAATAACCACGTGGGTAATAAGATACAGGGGGGTGAAATACAGAATATAAGAACAAGGATCACAATAGAGTATAATAAATATGTTCAGTAGGACATAAGGAAGTTGAGACAAGGAAACAAAGTGATAAGAATGATAGGGCAGGATAGTAAAACGAGTGGCAGCTCAGATAAAATCTGGATATGCTTTCCAGTAAATTAAGTTACAGATTTGAAGGAAGAAACTGCCCTGCCAGCCTAATTTCCTCAGGCAAGTCGTTCCAGAGCCTCGGGGCCCTGACAGCAAATGTCATCTTTTGTTCTTAGTCTGGCTCCAGGAATAGACAAGAGGCCCTTGCGAGAAGATCTTAGACCACAGAAGGCTCATAAGGAGTTAAAATATCTAAAATATAGTCAGGAGCAAAGCCATGAATAGCCTTAAAAGTAATGAGTAAAATCTTAAAATCAGTCCTAAAACAAACAGGGAGCCAGTGCAATGATGCTAAAACGGGTGATATGATCATATTTTCTTGTCCTAGTTAAGAGCCGAGCAGCTGAGTTATGTACAGTCTGTAACCTATTTAGGGTTTTTTGATTAAGGCAAGTGAAGAGGCTGTTACAATAATCAATGCATGAGGAGATAAAAGCATGTATAACAGTTTCTGCATCTGTAACATTTAAAATAGGCCTTACTTTTGCAATATTTCTAAGGTGGTAAAAGCTAGACTGGACAAGTTTAGAAACATGATGCTCAAAGCATAACTTATTATCTGATAACACGCCAAGATTTCATGCAACAGGCTTCACGTGTTGTAGCAGGTTGCCAGAAGAGGGCAGAATTTGATTGCAGATATGTTGGGGACCTATAACCAGGATTTCTGTTTTATTGAAGTTAGAAGGAAATACCATGCCTGCGTATGATATCACCCAGAGGGAGTATACAAAGTAGGTCCAAGGATTGACCCCTGAGGCACACCGTAGTTGATGGTAGAGAAAGAAGACTTAAAATTATTTATAGAGACACAAAACTTCCTATTGGATAAGTATGAAGAAAACCAGTTCAGTGCATTATCAGATACCCCCACCCTGTGCCTCAGTCTATTTAACATGATGCCATGATCAATGGTGTCAAAGGCAGCACTTAAATCCAGCAAAACCAGTATTGAACATTTGCCTGCATCAGCGTTCATTAGGAGGTCATTGGTAACTTTCAAGAGTGCTGTCTCAGTACTGTGATGCTTACGGAAACCAGACTGGAACTTTTCAAAGATACAATTATTTTCCATTGCAGCAAGGAGCTGCTTAGAAACTATCTTTTCAAGAGTTTTTGAAAGAAAAGGCAGTTTAGAGATTGGGCGGTAGTTATCAGGGATGTTGGGGTCAAGGCTAGGTTTTTTTTAGGACAGGTTGCACACATGCCGTCTTGAAGTAGACCGGGACACAACCAGTAGATGATGAGCTGTTCAAAATTAAAAGTAGGTGTGGGCTAATATACTCCAAAACTTCTATTAAAAACTTTGCAGTAATCAGATCAAGAGGGCTAGAGGAAGGCTTCATCTTCAACATAGTTTCCATAAGTTCTGCCATGGTAATGGAAGAAAAGTAACTCCAAGGATCCTGGGTAGGGTGAACAACATCTAAAAAGGCTGGGTTTGGGCTAATACTGACTCTTAATAATTCCACCTTACTGACAAAGTGTATTAAAATATTCTCACAATCTGCATCACAATTAGCAGAGGCACAGGGAGAGGCAGGGTTCACCAACAGAGCAAGAGTCTTTAAAAGAAAACTAGGATTGTGCTGGTGGACAGCAATAAGATTTGAGAAATGGTGAGCTCTTGCACCTTTTACCAAACTATTTCATGGCCGTGAAATGGACCTGGAGACCTGATTGTTTTCCATCTGCGTTCTGTTTTTCTACATTCCCGTTTGCAGCTTCTGATATCTACATTTAAGTACACATTACTTTAACACAATACATGATTAGTGAATTTGACAAAGAGCAAAGCATGATTTTAGTCCGAACATCTCTCCCCTTTTCTGGACAATGCCTAACTGATACTCAATTCCCCTCACACATTAACGTCATGTCTAAGTCAAAGTCTAAGCGGTGGTCATCAGACAGTAAGGAAGACCAGCAGGAACTGGCCAGCAATCCTCTCAGAAAGCAAGTCCAAATACAACATGAATTTGATGTCACTCTTAGTTACGATTCAAGGACTGCCAACATTGATATCATATGTGTTTATGCAGGACTCCAGATAATACAGGTGACATCCATATCCTAGATTCTTCACACAGCTCACCCGAACTCTCTGACCCTGTGCCTCAAACGAGCTCCACCCCTCACAAGGACTCCGCTCAAGACAAAGGTCCTTCCCACTCAAAATGGTTAGTAAAGCAGCAGCTTTAGCTAAGAATGGATGGACTCACCCGTTGTGAATGAATTTTAGCGTAATGTGCACCAATAAAAGTATTTTTTTGTTTAGAAGGTAATTGATGTATTATTTTACATCATGTAGATTAATGCAGTTTTTTTTTTTTTTGTTAATATGTATTTATGTCCCTCCCACTTTTCATTCCAATAGGCACACAAAAGTTACACTTATTGATGACTTAACTACACAAATGTATTTACTAGAAAGAGATTTTCATACTAGCGTCACAATAAACATGCACCCAAATTCCATCCAGAAACTCTGCTCTTGTTCGCAGGAAACAGCTATACAATAATGCAAAGGAGAGTAAGGATACATGGAGCGATGAAGAGTCGTATTTCACCACCAGAAAGAAGAGCAGCAATACTTCAAATGTATCAGGTACTATTTCATCAACAATATGCTATTCATCTCATGAATCCTGTATAAATCCAGCTGTCCACATCCTGATCATACAGTAATATATCTTTGTTTTTCCCCAAAGGATTGCACAACCAGAGCACCATTTCAAATTCAGGCCACAGGAAGAGAGTACGTATAGCAATAGTCATAAATGAACAAATTCATTGTGGTTCATTAACGTTACGTGCTGGTAGGAAGTTTAAAAAAAGAAGTCTGAGAATTTTAAGGGTGGGGTGGGTGGGTCGTCACTAAGACAGCATTTAGGCCTGCTTGTTTTATTTACCGAGTCCTCTCCTCTATAGCATGAGCTTTGCAGCTTTACAACTGGCTGTGCCTAACCAATCGTCACCCCTAATGCCTCAACCCATCAGCCAATCAGAGGCAGCGTAGGGCGGGTCTTTTTCTAGTCCGCTACACTGCGGAGTCTGACAGCTGAATGCATGAGGACGGTAAGACTGCCGAACGAGCTGTTAGTTGGAAAGCAAGCCTGATGTAAGACAGAAGTAAGCTAGCTTACAATTTTAAAGCGGTGGTATTATGCTTTTTGCCCTTTTCCCCTCTCCTTTATTGAGTTATATACCTTTTTGTGCATGTAATAGATTGGCAAAGTGAAAAAGCCCAAAGTCCACCCCAAAGGGAGTTCGCATCTCCCACAGAAAACTCTGCTCTGAACTGCTTGAAAACAGCTCGTTTGTATTCCAGCCGCTTCCCTTTCATCCTTGTGACGACACAGGGAAGAAAGCTAAATGCGGCTCATTTAACGCTTGCCAAACCACTACTCCGACACGGAGAGTGAGTTGTGGGGCAGATGCGTCCAATGCCAGAAAACCGTAAAGAAAAGAACAGAAAGTTGTGAACACTTGTCAGAATTCGGGAAAAATGTGACCGGTGAAAGGACATTGAAAAATGGGAGTCTCCAGCGAGCTAATCCGTTTACTTCTGTAGCCTGCAACAGCGTGCTGCGTGTGACGTCGTGTTATTCTTCTGCGCATGCGGGTCACTTTCTGGCTGCGGACAGTTCAGACTGGAGTCTGATGTGGGCCAAATTTAATCTATAATGTTAACTGTCAAACAAAAAAAATCGGATCTGGGAAAAAATTCGGAATTGAGCATTAAGGCCTGCAGTCTGAACGTAGCCTATGTTGCCAAGCTGGTCGGCAACATGTACAGCAGAAACAAAGCAGTGTTTGCTTCTCACTGACCCAGCCTTCCCTGCTTCTGATTGGCTAGTAGTCCTTAACTAGGAACTGCGCGTGTGCAACTCCCAACAAAGATCATTTTGAGACCAGATGTATCACTCCATAGCTAAAATGAAGCCTTCAACACAGGGGGAAAAGAGGAGCTGCAGCAATGTGCAGTATGACAAAACAAACACGGTGTTTTTTGAAAATCAAACCATATAAACCTGTTCTGGTACAACCCTTAAATGGGATTTTGAACCTGAATATGAGCATAATACCATCTCTTTAACTGTCCTGTCAGACACAGTAATGTTGCTAAGTTTAGAACTTTGCCCCCTGTTATTAACCAGTAATGTTAGCTAAGCTAATCTTTCAGAGCAGTGGCAGGATGTAATGTAGGCATCAACAACATCAACAGGATAAAACGTGTAATTACACCGGGGATATGTCCCTGTAACTTTTTGAAAGCATTTGTAAAAAAAATACTTTGAAAAATAGCATGCAAGAAATGTTAAATAACAAATCAAAGTGCTTTGAGAAAGGTTTATTTGCACTTATTTATAATTTAAGTAAGATAAAACAAGGTACTGATGAAATGACCTCAAAACGTGCAGCACCAGTCAGTAACTTCTTGTCACAGTTTCTATTCGGCCAAATTTTCCACTCTCTCCCTGTGAACAAAAGAAAGGAGGAGGGAAGACTAAATCATGCCTGCATGTGTGCTAATTCAGTAGGGATGATATTACACGAGTTACATATGTGAGAGCAACATAGAATGCCTTAGATTCTATAATACTTACAGAATTTGATTTGTCACCTGCCACCTGAATTTTGTGTTTCCCTTTACATAAATAAAAACATTTCCACCTTAAATTGATGTAGGAAAGGCAGAACAGGAAATGTTACCAGAATACAGGAAATGAAGTGTTTAATGCTCAAAATTTTCTGGGGGAGGACCCCCAGACACCACCTCATATTTCAGCACTGACAATTTCTATAAAATAGTGTGAAATTATCATTACGTCTCGTTCTCATGACACCAGTATGGTGCATCGCCACATCTCCTGCCAGATTTGCGGACAGTTGATGCTTTGCAGCCCTCCTGCATCAGTCAGCAGCCGATGAAAGCAGCACACCGGCAAACATCTCAAGTTTAGTCAGTTGCATTATGACGTAACCACACTGACATAAATTAAATAAAGCGTATTGTCTGTTTTGTCACAACAGCAGAAAGCAGAGTAACCTAACATTCCTGTTTTTTCTGTGTTGCAGAAGTGGAGTGAGAGCGAGACTCAGAAGTTAAGAGAAGGTGTAAAAAAATTTGGCGAGGGCAACTGGAGTAAGATAAAGGCGTATTACTCCTTCACTGATCGAACAAATGTCAACTTAAAGGACAGGTGGAGGACCATGAAGAAGTCAAACATGACATGAGCTGCAGTTAAAGTTCAACGGTTCAGCATGAAGTCCTATGTTCTTAATCTTGTACAGTTTTCCTTTTAGTTCATTAAATGTTTGGTTGTTCAGTTTGCACGATTTGTTGTCCCTTTTTATTGTTATACAAATTGCAGCTGTGTCTGATGCATGTATTTTGACTGCAGCCCTATATGCAGTTTTACGTTCGCAAAGACTCAAATACAAAGACATGGATTTATTTGAAAGGTGACATTTACAAAAGATACAGAAAAGCATTCCCCTTCATTTTGACAAGATATGATTCAGTGGAGTATCAGGAGGCTCTGACCAAAGGAATCCTGTGTGTGGCAGATTAGCGTATCCTAAAGTGAGTCAACAGGTCTCTATTTCAGTCCCTAAATTGGAAATATGGGCTAGTTACATCTGCTGGTAAGGTGCCCTTGAACCAGGCACTTAAATCCCACCGCTTCTGTTCTCCAGCTGTTCTGGGTGCGAATGTTACTGCGTATGCAATTGTTTAAGAAAAGATGCATTTTACAGTCCAGCTGTTAATGCATATTTATGTTAATGTGTCTTCATTCCTAATGAACTCTCCCACATCGGCCTGGTGAAACACTACGATGGACATGGGGTCCACTCGCCGACACTCCTGGGTAGACTTGGCCGCTACTCCAAAACCCTGACAAATAAGACACACAACTGGTTCAGAAAATGTTTTAAACAAGGACAAAAACCAACCCATTTCATCTTCTGATCTAAAGTTCAAATTAAATTACTCTAGCAAATATGGTATTCTGAATGTCTGGTACATAGAGTATGCGTGGGTACATTCAAATCAGGCATGATACATTGTGAAGAACTGAAAACAAGAATACAACTGAAAGCTTCACCATAGCACATCTCAGTGCATAGGTTACTCTTATGTGAAAGCATGTGCACTCAACATTTTCAGCATGAGTTGCCCAAACAGGATTATAAGCTCGGGGTGGTGCACTGTGATCTCTGTCATCAATCACAACAGTTACAAAACTTACCAGGGGCACATCAGCCATGGAGTAGACCACAACTCCTTGGTACTGCATAGTGTTCTCAGTGATTCTCCCGAGCCCAGATTTTAGCACATGGTTCCCATAGAGGAAAGACTGCTCTGCTCCAGGTTTCACCCACACCTTGAACTGAAGGCATGGACAGATTAGCTTCAAGTTATTCATGCATGAGCACACCTAACTTAATCTCAGCAGCAGAGGTGAAATGTTTTAACACATTAAATCATGTTTGTCGCATACACAGTACAATGTGCGGTGAAATTCATTTGTGCCTGGTTACAGAAAGCATCCAACAATAGTAAAAAGAATGAAAACAGTACAAGTCATGCGCACAAACATTAGCTATTGCCCACTTAATTATCAGCGGGGATCTTTATAACTGAAGGTAGGCACCCAGGAGAGGCTGACAATACATTCTGTATATCTAATGTTACGGCATGAGCTACCAGTTATCACAGAACTGGTGGCAAGCCTTCGTCTGTCATTTAAAATATGGTGGAGAGTGGTATTTGCCAGTGTGTCCTGCTGCTTACAAATGTAATTTGCCAGTAGATGGACAGTGAAAACCCTTAAGAACTGACATATACCAATGGACTATGAGGATGGCCTGCAATAAGCCTTTTGGGATCTCTGCCTCGCTCCACAGTACGCTGCTCTTCCTGGAAGTTATTCAGAGACTGACGGATGACCCAGGGGTGTAGCCGTCATTGGACATCAATTCAAATTGAGGCTCTGCAGAAAAGGACCGGTCACTTAACTACATATTTTGATTGCCTCTCTGTCCGTCTGTAGGAGCTAAGGAGAGAGGGAGGGATGCAAATGATGGCAGCAAAGATACAAATAATTGAAATGAGATGCGCCCATGGTCACCTTTGCATAGGGCGCCAGGAAATCCAGAGCTGTGATGTGCAGGCGGAACTTAGTGGTCTTCGTAAACTTTCCAAAACACGTTCCCACTGACACGAGCTTGTCCCGAGAAATGTTTGTGGCCAATTTAAGGATTTTCTCACTGTGGACACGACACGATAATACATTCAGTTCACGATTTAGTATTGGCACATAAACATGCATGTTAATTTATCAAATCATTTTTATGAGCATCTATTGGCATTGGAAACGGACGTTTACTATGCCAAAGCAAGTGTGAAATAAAATAAAAACATGTAAATATACAGAAGAGTTGTGTTATTAAATATGATAAATACAGTAAAACGTATCCTGGATTACCTCATGTAGTACACACGGTCATTGTGTAGCCTGAAACAGTAGGTACCATCAGGTCGGTCCACGAGAAGTTTTATGTTTTCACCGATGCTGTTGCGGGAGAAAAGACGTGGATCACACACTCACATGCTAACAAGGATGCTAACATTGTTGGAATCAACTGAATCTTCACGGGCACGATAAAATATCCTGTAAGTTCACTTACTATTTCGACAACTTCTCAAACATCGTTTTCGTCTCCTCGTCTGTTAGTGGCCTCATCTTGAGTGTTTTAAAACAACTTTTTATTAGCGAACACTTCTCCTTATAATAATATCTCCTGTAAAAACGTGGGTCAACGCGGAAGTGGTCACTCTCTATAACGGAAGTCGACTGACGTAATCAGCGAGCTGAGTTCCTGGTTGGGGTTTTTTTTTTTGCATTCTTTAGCTTTCAGTCGGTCGTTACGTTCTTACTTCGGTAAACGGTGGCCATCTGGTAAGTTTATTCACGTACAATTATAATAACTCTTGTGAATAGGTTTACTAAACAGTTACGTTAACATTCATTTGTTTCACATTTCGTTTTTGTTGAACGTTGAAGTCCCACTTTCGAAAACGGGCTCAGTTAGCCTAGTTAGCCAGCTGTCAGTGGGAGAAGAAACACCGACCTGCTGCTCTTAGCGGGCTAGGGAACATTAGCTTGTGGGCTAGCTCTGTCAGCGGCTGAAAATGCTAACTTAACGCTTGGTTCGCTGCAGGCAACGACCCCGCTCTACTAAAGCAGTTTAATCTAAATCAATTGTCAGACATTGGGATGTCACTAGTAACGTTAACTACACTGGACTGCACCCAGTTGTGATTTTAGCTCGGACTCGCCATTTGAACAAGAGCGCCTTTGCCGCAGCGAAGTTACATAACGTTAATTTGTTTGTAAATACTGATTGCGTCCGTGTAATCCGAGATCAGAGGCAGAGACGGTGATCTTTTTAAGCATCTCAGCAGAGTCATTAAGATCAACATTAAGCACTCGTCCTCTGGCACATGATGATAGATGATTCACCTGTATGGAGTGCAGCCGGTGTCAGCGATGGGGATGTCAGCCAGAGTTAGAAATGAGGAAATCTACTTGGTCAGCGAGTTCTATGCATTTGGCAGGTCATTTGATCATCCTGTCACCTTCTGCCTGACAGCAATAATGCCTTGGGGGGGGGGGGGGAGATCCTGTTCTTTTTTATGCTACCAAATAAAGTTATGCACAGCAAAACATTAAATTCACTGACATGACACATCATGAAATACGTGATTCTGCTGTTGTTCAGTCAAACTTCTAAAATCTAAAATCTAAAATCCTGAAACTGTTTTGGATAGCCTTACAATTCAGTTAAATCCGTCTTTCCGCCAAACACAACCTACATTTCTTCTGCTGTTCTTATTGTGTTTTGTGTCTTGGTTCAGGTATTTAAATTTCCTGAAAGTAAAAGTGTCATCTTGAGTCATTTCTCACCAATGATGTCAGGATATTTAGCAGTCACACTACATGAAATGTTAAGTAGTAACAACATAAGCAATTTCAGTCTTTTTGTCAGATGATGCACCAAATTGTATTTTCCACATTTGCTTGTCTGACCCCTTATTGAAATAAGCCTCTAGGTCCTTTCAGCTCCAGGTAGATACAAAATTAAAATGGATACCTTAAAGCTGCAGTGCTAAAAGCAGCACGACAAACACAGAAACATAGGCAGATTATTCTGATCCAATACTTTGTTGTTTACCGCAAGAGATGACTTAAAAAAGGAGAAGTGAAACCTATAGATCACTTGGACAACTTTTTTGTTTCATAGTAGGTAACTGCTCAGGATCCCACATTGAAACACTCACTACACGCTGACCTCATTTGTTCCATTTTAAGATTTCACCTTAAGACCTGTACAGTATTGTACAAATATTTGCATTTGTACACCATATTGCTTTAGATTTAAGTTTTTCATGTTGTATAGCTTATTACTCTGTATGAGAACGTCAAAATACCTGAAATGTATGTACAGACAATGTGTGTAACAGCAGTTATTTGGGAGGGGATGAAATAGAAGTATTTTTATTAAAATAACTATATGTGCTCCAGTGTCTCTCCCAACAAGTTTGACCTCATTAACTGTGGGAATCGGAGAGACCTGCTTTTAGTGAAGGCAGTGGCAAATTGGTGCTATCAGCTAGTACACGGCAACTTTTACACAGGAAAACCTCGACAAGGATGACTAATTTTTCATAGTACGTCTGTATACAGTGGTGGAAATGTTGTTTTATTTGTTTTCTTATTCACCTTTCACATGTTGACAGGAGTGTGCTGTCCCGTGTTGGGAGAATAGTTCTTGTGCCAACGGTTTACCCCGGGATAAACCAGTGGTCTGTGTCTGTCATCAGTTTCCGGCGTGTGTTTGTTGGCTCTGGTAGCACTGAACAGGAAGACAGACGCAGAGAGTCGTCTGAAGTGAGAGAGGAAACTGCTGCGGCTTCTTCGTCTGCCTCAGAATGACTGAGTTCTGGGTTTGTTTCAGTTGCTGCATTGCAGAGCAGCCACAACCGGTGAGTATGAAGATAACTTGGAAGACAAATTGAATTGGCTAGAATATAGGTTAATAAACAGAGCAGTAGTCTCTGGTGCATATTCACTATTCTTAGACAGATTTTTAAATTAAAAACACTGTTTCATATGTCATGTCTGACATCTCTTTTTCTAGAT